TTTTCCATCAATTATCCTTTGAAGTGCTGGGTTTGTGGGAAGATATTGTGCAAATTTGGTTTTGTCATGGAATATCTTGGTTTCACCATCTATAGTGATTGAGAGTTTTGCTGGATATAGTAATCTGGGCTGGCAATTGTGTTATCTTAGAGTCTGTATGATGTCAGTCCAGGCTCTTCTGGCTTTTATAGTCTCTGGTGAGAAGTCTGGTGTAATTCTTATAGGTCTGCCTTTATATGTTACTTGACCTTTTTCCCTTACTGCTTTTAGTATTTTTTTTTTGTTTTGTACACCTGATGTTTTGATTATTATGTGACAGGAGGTATTTCTTTTCTGGTCTATTCTATTTTATGTTCTGTAGGCTTCTTGTATGTTTATGGGCATCTTGTTCTTTAGGTTAGGGAAGTTTTCCTCAATAATTTTGTTGAAGATATTTATTGTCCCTTTAAGTTGGGAATCTTCATTCTCATCTATACCTATTATCCTTAGGTTTGGTCTTCTCATTGTGTCCTGAATTTCCTGGATGTTTTGAGTTAGGAGTTGTTTGCATTTTGCATTTTCTTTGACAACTGTGTCAATATTTTCTACCTTGTCTTCTGCATTTGAGATTCTCTCTTCTATCTCTTGTATTCGGTTGGTGATGCTTGCATCTATGACTCCTGATCTCTTTCTTAGGTTTTCTATTTCCATGGTTGTCTCCCTTTGAGCTTTCTTTATTGTTTCTATTTCCATTTTCAGATCCTGAATGTTTTTGTTTAATTCCTTCTTTGTGTTTTCTTGCATTTCTTTAAGGGATTTCTGTGATTCCTCTTTAAGGGCTTCTATCTGTTTACTTGTACTCTCCTGTATTTCTTTAAGGGAGTTACTTAATTCCTTCTTATAATCCTCTATCATCATCATGAGAAGTGATTTTAATTCTAAATCCTGCTTTTCAGGTGTGATGGGGTGTTCAGGGTTTTCTATATTGGGAGAACTGGGTACTGATGGTGCCAAGAAACTTTTATTTCTGTTGTTTATGTTCTTGCGCTTGCCTTGCGCCATCGGGTTAACTCTTGTGTTACCTGCCCTCACTGTGTGAGACTGGAGTCTGTATTTCCAGTTATCTTGCTTGTTGCAGAGCTCCTCAGAGTCCAGATGTCTCTGTAGTCTTATGATCCTAATCTCCTTGGTGTCTCCTGCTCTGAGTGCAGTGGCTCCTTGGCTGCTCTGAGTGCAGTGGCTCCTCTAGGATGACTCAGGAGTCAGTTTCTCCACAGTACAGGAGCAGACCCAACTCTATGTCTGCCCCAGCCCAAAGGACCAGTCATAGGAGGAAGGGAAGTGGACTTCCGGAGGGGCGGGTTTTGAGTAGCTGCTGTGTCCTGACTGTCCCTGGCTCCCAGATGTATCTCTGGGGCTTAGGGAGTGATATGGAGTTCTTACCGGCTGCTCTGAGTGCAGTGGCTCCTCTAGGATGACTCAGTAGTTAGTATCTCCACAGGACAGTAGCAGACTCAACTCTGTGTCTGCCCAAGCCCAAGGGACCAGTCAGGGGAGGAAGGGAAGTGGAATTCCGGAGGGGCGGGGTTTGGGTAGCTGCTGTGTCCTGACTGTCCCTGGCTCCCAGATGTATCTCTGGGGCTTAGGGAGTGAGATGGAGTTCTTACCGGCTGCTCTGAGTGCAGTGGCTCCTCTAGGATCACTCAGGAGTCAGTATCTCCACAGGACAGGAGCAGACCCAATTCTGTGTCTGCCCCAGCCCAAGGGACCAGGCAGGGGAGGAAGGCTCACCTACATTTTTCAAACTTGCCAGTACTACATTATGTGTACAAATTCTCTAACACTCTGAAAACTCTCAGATAAATTTTTAAGCATATTTGTTTCTCCATGGCATAATCTTTCTGAATAACCCTCTGTATTTACAAGAATACTTTGGAATCCACTGCATAACATTTAAATTTTTGATTTATATGATTTTTCATAAAACTATAAGACTTAGATAACATTCTTTTCATTATTCTCAGATGCCTCAGTCTGTGTGCAGTGAGAGTTGTGTGCCTGGCTTCAGAAAAGTAACCCTGGAAGGCAAGGCCATCTGCTGCTACAATTGTACTCCATGTGCGGACAGTGAGATTTCTAATGAGACAGGTAAATGCAGGTTTTACAGATATCTTTCCCATTTCTCCACAGGATTTCGTAATAAACTAGTCAAAGAAAATTATCTGAATTCAAATCATTAATAAATACTTTAATTTCTTCCTTTAGGAATTAAAATGTCATAATTCTTCAGCATCTCTGAAATGGCTCATTGTAGCCATTAAGAATCATATTTGTTTTTTATTGTGATTCACTGCCAATATTGACTGTGGTAGAAAAATATCTTCAGTGTATTTTATAGTATGTTTCATTTTATGGTGACATTTAAAATATATTGATAAAATATTAATATTGTTTTACCAGCTATATTTCAATAACTCTGATCTTTTGCATCTTCATAGTAGTGATCATCTGCAACTCATTTTTCAAAATGTATTTTCTCTCAATTTTTAGCTGTTTGATAATTTTGTAATATGTGTTTTGATCATATTCACCCTTTTTATTGGAGTTTTACTGCTGTGAACAGACGCCATGATCATGGCAACTTTTAAAAGGACAATATTTAATTGTGCCTAGCTTATAGGTTCAGAAAGTTAGTCCATTATCATCAAGGCATGAGCATGGCAGCATCCATACAGACATGGTCTGGAGGAGTTAGGGAGTTCTATGTACTGTTCTGAGGACAAACAGGAGAAGACTGCCTTCCAGACAGCTAGGACCAGGGTCTTAAATTCCATGCCCATATTCACACCCCTTAATATTGCCAGTTCTTAAGCCAAGCATATACAAGCCATCACATTCCAGTCCCTGGACCCCATAGACTTGTTCAAACCCAAGTCTTTGTGGGACATGCTTAGACATAGCATAATAATAAATATATTTTGTCTAATTTCCAATGACCTCATAGTATATTGTAGTCTCAACAATGTTAAAAGTCCAAATTTCAAAGCTTCTTCTGAGATTCATCCAATCACTTAAGTGCAATTCCCAAAGCAAGACAGAAAACAAGCTTGCATGCTCCAAACTTCACATTTCCACGTCTGATGTAAAAGTGGACTAGAGATCCCAAACTCCTTTTTGATCTTTGTTGAGTGTAAAAAACTTTTTATCTCCTTTTATCAGCTTTCCTCAGCAAGTATCCCACAGGTCTGGCATCTTTAATATCTTAGAGGCTCCATGTCAACTTCATCTTCCAGCTTATTGTTCCAGTGTTTGAGACCTACACATGATCTTCTGGGCTTCTACAAAGGGCTTATGGCACATTTCTGTCTCTAACCTCTGTAACCTTGTAGGTTCTGATGACTACACTCCACTGCTACTGGTGTTCTTGGTGACCATTCCATGATACTTGCAACTCTATTATACTAGGGTCTTCTGCTGTAACTATGCTTCTTCACCAGTAGAGTCTCATAGACTATTTCATGGTGCCATTTCTCAGCTTCTCTGCATGAGGTTGGAGTAATGCTTACATATTACCAAGTACACCCTAAGCTGTAGGTGCAACCTTGGCTATCTCTAGAACACAGTTTCATTGTGCTCTCAGAAAACACTTGCCTGATTTAACCACAGTGATGCTGGTCTATTCTTCGTAACTGCTAATTTCTTAGCTCCAGCTAACCTGCATCAATTGTTCCAGTAGACTCTTCATTTCTTGACTCTGAAATCAGAGATACATGGTAATCCTTCTGTGTTCTGTTTTGCTGGGGCTGAAATTTTGTCCACCTTATCTATTACATTGTCATGAGCTTTCTGATTTTCAACTTCTTCATGGGCTATACTTGGCTATCCTGGAACTTAAAGTATAGATTTACCTTGAATTCAGAGATGTACATACCTATCTCCTAAATGCTAGAATTTAAGGTATTATCCCCTAAGCCTGAACTTAAGCTTTTCTTTACTTGAAAATTATTCTTTACTAGGCTCAGTTTGAACTCAGAGATCTGTTTGCCTCTGTCTTTTGGGATTAAAGATGTGCTCTACCACTATAAACTTAGTTATATGTGATCTTCACCAAAGCTCTACTAATTTAATTGCTATATTTCCTTGAATATAGGATTAAACTCGATTCTACTTCTTGTTGCCCCTTTAATACTTGATCCATATATTTGTAGATTTTTTTTTTACTTTTGCAGCTTGTTCTTTTTCATTAAAATACACATCATAAAAGTGAACTTTAGTAACCACACAACAGAATTTATACTAGGCTGTTTTTGAGACTCCCTGTGTCAAAACCAATAATATGAACCTCTTCACCTTAGCCTCAGGCAAACTTTTCAGACAATGGCAAAAAGCAGCCACATTTTTCACGGAACTCCCACAAAATCAGTCTCTATGCCACATACTAAAATTTTCCTCCACTGAAACTGCTTGGGCCAGGTCTGTACAGTTCAAATTATGCTTATCAATAAAGTCTTTCATACTCCTACTAGGATAGCCCATTAAGCCCCACTAAAGTATTTCACTGCTTTCCAAATCCAAAGTCCCAAAATTCACATTCTTCTATACAAAAACATGTTCAGGTCTATCACAGTAATACTCCAGTCCCTGGTACTAACTTCTGTCTTAGAGATTTATTGCTGTGAACAGGTGTCATTACCAAAACAACTCTTAAAAGTACAACATTTAATTGGGACAGGCTTAAAATTTCACATGTTCAGCCCATTATCTTCAAGGTGGGTACATGGTAGCATACAGATAGGAATAGCATATGGGGAGCTATAGTTCTACATCTTGTTCTGAAAGCAAACACTACAAAACTACCTTCCAGATATCTAGGATGAGGGTCTTAAAGCCCATGCATACAGTGACACACTTACTCCCATAAGGCCTCTTTATAGTGCCTCTCCCTGAGTCAAGCATATACAAAACCCTTACATTCCTCTCAATCCTCCCAGATCTAGTCACCTCCGTTCTAACTAATCAACATTTTGTAATTAACCTATCTAACACATTCTGTAATAGTCATCTAATTTTGTGTTTGTTGATATCAGTTGATGGTTGACAACCAACCATGTGATGCAGGATAAAAAATGACTCTCCTCTCACAAGCTATCAATTGCCAACATCTTATTTTTCTTCGGGTGTGTTTTTATGCCTACTTCCTCTCCTTATGTGAGAGCTTGGTCTGGCTTAAGTCTGCAGCCTTCTATTTCATTTTCCTGTGGGCTGTACATTCATAAGTCCAACTGCCAAATATCGTCAAAAACACTAATTCTTGAAGCTTTCTGCACATTACAGTGATAGGTAGCTTTCTGCCTTCTCTTGGATAAAATTTCAACACATTTTATTTTGTTATTGGGACTTTCATGGAAGTTTAGGGTTTGACATCTTTTGGATGAAGGCGCATTATGAGAGGCAAGGTCTGATATTTTAAAGTCTAGGTGATATCTTGGCTCTCTGTTTTCTCTGAATTCTGCTTTCAAATCAGGGTATAAAAATTTATCAAGTGTTCCAGTGTCATTTCTGCCAAGAAGCTGCCATGCCTACTGATGTGACAGAAATAGACTAAATGTGCAAACCTATATCAGCTATAAGTTTTTATGAGATATTGTCTGTTCACAGGAGTAGAACAATAACCAAGACAACATGAAATCACAATACCTTAAAGGTCTTTTCAAAATTTTACTTAGAAAATATCTACTTGAGTTTAATCAAGAGGCAATTGATAGTTATTACTGTAATCACATACATTTTAATTATTAATTAGTTAAATATCCTTTTCTATTTTCTGTTGATATACACAGATACTACAGATTTGATTTTTGAATATAATGGATAAATTCGTATCACTATTTGAAGTGTGATGGTAACATTTTGCTAGTATCTTGTGAGTGAGCTTTTGTTCTCTCTAAGAGCGTAGTGTGTATTAGAAATTCACTATTGTCAGACACTTTGCATATGACTCTTGTAATTAATGATCCACTTCTCATATTAATCAATAAATTGATGAGGAGTTTGTTATCATGAAACAATACTCTACAAGTAGGCAAGGTTTTTATCATTGATTTTAGGAATGAAAATCTAGCACTTGAACTAAAGTTATAGATGTATATGTACATACATGTATAATATGTGCATTTGTATATATATGCATATATCATGTATTTTATGCATATTCATATATATATAATTTGGATAGAATAGTAATACTGTTACCACGATCAAATTGAAACCACATTTTATATTAGTTATTTAATTCTCCCATATTGGATTTCTATTATGCATTATTTTATATTAGTTTAATTTTATTGACGTGCAATCATAAAATTTATATTGAATTTTATTATTTTACACCATAATTACAATATAAAACATATTAGAATTATTTTTAATAAACAGATAAAGTGAATTAAATGAGATTTTATGATGTTTTACTGTCAATTTTCACATGGTAAAGAATTATGTGTTAGGGAAATACACAGAGTTTGAACTGATTAACTGTACAACATGATTTGGGTGATTATGGTGGCAGTGTAAGAAATACTCTTTTCTAATTCTCCTATGTAGAAGTTTCTCATTTCACCATTCATGGTCCATTAATAGATTTCAATTCAACTAAATAAAAGTTTGTCCCCTCAAGGAGATAACTTTTAAAAGAACCAGTTACCCTCTGACATGTTGTGATTTTGGCTGCATTCAAGAGTGTAGCATATGTAGTAAATGAAATTTGCTGTTTAAGTTAAGGTCAGATATAAAATAGGTGAGAAAATATTAATAGTGTTTTCAAGCAAGTGACAAAATCAATCTTTGAATAATATTCACACTTTTTGTTCACTCTAATACTCAGATTTTGTGGTATTTATCTATCTTTTCTTTGATAATACTGACATGAGTATATGCCACACGTAAGATGGTAGGAGTACACAAAGAGGAATATACACAAGAGAGGGGCTGAGGAGAGCATGATGTCCATGAATGCATTTTAAGGATACTGACTAGGTTTCTTCTTGATTTAAAACAGTATCCAATTTTTATGATACACTTTATTTATAGACTAACGTTATATAATTTTAAAACACATTTAAAATTACTTGGAGATGCAAGGCATATATGTGGATATAATTTTATTTATTGCTTTAAGGAGATTATTTCTTTACTCCAGTAGCTCTAGTCACCCAATACACATTTCTGCTGTTTTTTAGTGTTGTTTTTTTTTGTTGTTGTGTTTTGTTTCAAATCATATAGATAGACTCTAACAGAGGCACTGTGTGGTTTTATAATCAGCTTCAACGTCATATTTTGCTTACCAATCCCCAAGACTTCCTATTGAGTCACAGATTTATAAACTTAAGTATTTTTAATATCACTTGGCTGACAGCAAAAATTAGACCCACAATAAACAGAAGAAAAAAATTAATAGTTAAAAATAGCCAAAGACATAAAAGATGCAGCACATGTACATATTCAATTCATATAAAATCTATGAAGATTAATTTACTGAAATATTAGGATACTAAAATTAAAGAATACCATCTAACTTGTCTAAAGTTGGATATCAAGTATTTGAGCACAGAGAATGAATTTATATACAGACTTGATATAATGTGTTTATATATCACTAAATCTTTACTATCTTTTGAGATTTCTGATTTTTATAGAGTTCCCACTGTCTCTTCTACAAATGCCACCTTTCTATAATTGTATATTTTACCCTCAAATTTTTAGGTCCCCAAAATCCTTCCATAGATATGTATTTCTGTGTGTTGTACATTTATAAATATATGCATGTGTATTCTATGTCTGTGTATTTATGTGTATACGCATGAATGTAAGTATGTTTGTATGTATATATTCATGCATATCATATGCATATCATAAACTGAGTTTGTAAATGTATCCTATGTATACATAATGACAGCCAGTCACTTGTCAAGACCAAATCAGGCAGGGCTTCCATTTAATCACTCTACTGTACAAATAAATGCTAAACATTGAAGATTTGAAACTAGTACAATAATGTAATACTATTTTTAAATTAAGGTTTAATTTATTATTATTAATGAAATAAAATTTAAGTTCCAGGTGGTCAATTCACAATTTAAGAAATATAGAATTATTTGAGCATATTGATAATGTAAGAAAGAAAAATGGGTATGTATGTTTTATGTTAATCACAAAATTAACAAATTTCAAGTGTACAGTAATATAAAAGTGTTCTCTTAACTCTGTCAGCTTTTGAAGTAACTCTTTATCAGAAAACTGATAATTTGCCCAAAAGATATGAAAACAGTTTTTGATCATTTACTAATGCAACTCCAGCAGAGAATGATGGGAATTTAAAGACACATGTAATTTTAAAGAAAAAAGTAAATTTAGGACTGACATGTGAAAAAACATTATTTGAAAATCATTGCAAAAAATACTCCCTCTTCTGCGTGTATAAATCATAAAGTATACGAAATTTGTGAGGTGTTATCAGGGCCAAGGTAGTTTTATGCTATGTAATTCTGTTTTTTCGTTACCTCTGAAAGAGATATACCAGTACCATAAAAGGCCGAAAAAAATTGTAAGTCAAAAGAGGAACCAGACTAAATCAAGTCACTATAAAGAAGATACTTTTTAAGAAAAGCTACTGCAAGTTGATGTGTACCTAAAGAGGGATATTTTCTATATAAATAGAGATAATTTACATAGGAGAAATAGTATGATGGTAGAAAAAAATAAAATGATTGGATGAAAATTCATTATATGTGAACATAGATACTTAAAGATATACAGAAGAAAGAAGGAATGCTCTATAAATATGGAAGTATTCACAATAATGTGCTTTTTTATTTTTCCCTGGGAAAACAATGTAAGGTAGAATTTGTGACAGTCCTTGTACATAGAAATTACTAAGAAAAATTAGGGATCAATACAGCCTGGTCTCAAAATCTCATGGTAATCTGTATTTTTGACCAGATGTGAATCAGTGTATGAAGTGTCCACAGAGTCATTATGCAAATTCAGAGAAGAACCACTGCTTCCAGAAAACTGTGAGCTTTCTTTCCTATGAAGACCCCTTGGGAATGACACTTGCCAGTATAGCTCTGTGCTTATCTGCACTCACAGCCTTTGTAATTGGGGTCTTTGTGAAACACAGAGACACTCCCATAGTAAAAGCTAATAATCAAGGTCTCAGTTACACTTTGCTTATCACAATCATGTTCTGTTTACTCTGTTCTTTGAACTTCATTGGTCAACCAAATGCAGCCAGCTGCATCCTTCAGCAGACCACCTTTGCAGTTGCATTTGCTGTGGCTCTAGCTACTGTGTTGGCCAAAGCTATTACTGTAGTCATTGCCTTCAAAGCCACCTTTCCAGGAAGAAAGGTGAGGTGGTTAATGACATCAAGGGCTCCAAACTATATAATTCCTATCTGCACACTAATCCAACTTCTTCTTTGCGGCATATGGATGACAACCTCTCCCCCATTCATTGACCAAGATGTTCATGCTGAACATGAACACATCCTACTTTTATGTAACAAGGGCTCATCTGTTGCCTTCCACTGTGTTCTGGGATACCTCTGCTCCTTGGCACTTGGGGGTTACACAATGGCCTTCTTATCTAGAAATCTGCCTGATGCATTCAATGAATCCAAATTTTTGTCATTCAGCATGCTTGTGTTCTTCTGTGTCTGGGTCACCTTTCTTCCTGTCTACCACAGCACTAAGGGGAAGGTCATGGTGGCTATGGAAGTGTTCTCTATCTTGGCTTCCAGTTCAGCTCTTCTTGGCTTCATATTTGCTCCTAAGTGTTACATTATCTTGTTGAGACCAGACAAGAATTCATGTCATCATATCAGGGACAAAACCCATTCTAGAAAGAATAAGTCTCTTAAAAGATAATGAAAAAATAAATTTAGATTCTATGTTAGCATCTTTCAAGAGGTTTGAATTTATTCCTTCTTCTATTCTTAACATACATTATACAATTAAACTATAGATTCAACTCTATCACATTTTATTTCTTTGAATTTATTCCTTCTTCCATTCTAAACATACATTATACAATTAAACTATAGATTCAACTCTATCAAATTTTATTTCTTTAACCAGCTATTTTATAGTGTTTTTGTATGAGAGAAAATTCTTTTTTCATTTATTTTTCATTTTAATTTTTATTGATTATTTTGTTTATCTACATTCCAATGTCATTCCCCTTCCAGGTTTCCCCTCTGAAAACCTCCCATCCAACCCCTACTGCCATCATAAGGGTGTTCTCCTACACACCCACCAACTCCAGCACTACTGCCCTTGCATTCCACTATGCAGGGGCATTATGCCTTCAGAGAACCAAGGCCTTCCCCTTCCCACTGATGCCTGACAACGCCATACTCTGCTACTTATGCAGCTGGAGCCATGGGTCCCTATATGTGTATATTTTGGTTGGCGGTTTAGAACATGGGAGCTCTGGGGTATATGAATGATTGATATTTGTATTCTTACTGTGGGGTTGCCAATATCCTCAACTCCTCAGTACTTCCCCTATCTACTCTACTTGGATCCTCATGCTCAGTCTTATGGTTGGCTACAGGCATCTGCATCTGAATCAGTAAGATTCTGGCCAAGGCTCTCAGGAGATATCCATATCTAGCTCCTGTCAGCAAGAACTTCTTGGCATCAGCATTAGAGTCTGACTTTGTTGACTTCTTATGGAATGGATCCCTAGGTGTAGCAGTATCTGGATGGCCTGTTCTTCAGTCTCTGCTCCACTATTCATCCCTGTATTTTCTATAGAAAGGGGCAATTCTGGATTAAAATTTTGAGACTGGTGGGTAGCTCCATCCCTCAACTGAGGGCTGTGTCTAACCTTGAGATATAGTTTCTATAGGCTCTCTCTTCCCTTTGTGGAGTATTTCAGTTTATGTCATCTCCATTGGGCTCTGGGAATCTCTTAATTTCCTGGCATCTGGTACATTTTGTTAGCTACCTCCATTTCCCACATTGCTATACTCCTTGGTTCAATTTCCTGATCCTCTGTAAATCTCCATCACCTCGCACATCTCTCCTCCCCCATTTATTCCTTCTCTCCTCCTTTCTTCCTCTCACCATCTAGATCCCATGATTATTTTGTTCCCCTTTCTAAGTAGAACTGAGTTATCCACACTTTGCTCTTCAATTCTCTTGAACTTTATGTGGTCTGTAAGTTGTATATTGTGTATTCTGAGCTTTTATCCTAATATCCACTTATAAGTGGGTACATACCATGTGTGGTCTTCTTTGACTATGTTACCTCACTAAGGTTGATATTTTCAAGTTCCATCCATTTGCCTTTGAATTTCATGAAGTTATTGTTTTAATGCCTGAGTAATACTCCACAGTGTGAATGTACCACATTTTTTGTATCCATTCTTCTGTTGAGGGATATCTGGGTTGTTTCCAGCTTCTATTATAAAGAAAGCTGCTATGAACATAGTGGAACATGTGTGTTTGTTACATGTTGGAGCATAACATAGTAAAATGGCTACCTTACCAAAAGAAACTCAGTATCATCCCCATAAATTCCAACTCAATTCTTCATAGAGAAAAAAAGAGCAATTCTCAAATGCATTTGGAACCAAAAAAATCACAGGATAGTGAAAACCTTTCTCAAAAATAAGAGAAATTCTGAGGGAATCACCATCCCTGAGATCAAGATCTACTACAGATTAATAGTGATCAAAGTACCTGGCAATGATACAGAAAGAGTCGTGTAGATCAATGGAATAGAACTGAAGACCCAGACAAGAATGCATACATCTATGGTCACTTGATCTTTGACGAAGTAGCTAAAACTATCAAATGGAAGAAGACAGCATATTCAACAAATGATGGTGGGTTAAGTCGAGATTGGCATGTAGAAGAATCCACATTTACCCATGCTTATCTCCTTGTATAAAGCTCAAGTCTAAGTAGATCAAGGACCACCACATAAAACCAGAAACACTGAGTCTAATAGAAGAAAAAGTGGGGGAAGAGCCTCAAACACATGGGCACAGGGGAGAATATCCTCAACAGAGTACCAATATCTTATGCCTTACGATCAATAATCAACAAATGGGACTTCATAAAATTGAAAAGCTTCTGTAAGGAAAAGTATACTTTCAATAGGAAAATTCGGCACTCCATAGACTGGGAAAAGATCTTTACCAACCCTTCATCCAATAGAGTGCTAATATCTGAACTATACATAGAACTCAAGAAATTATACTCCAGAGAACCAAATAACCCTATTAAAAATGGAATATAGAGCTATACAGAATTCTCACCTGAGGTGTCTCGCATGGCTGAAACACACTTAAAGAAATGTTCAACATCCTTAGTCATCAGAGAAATACAAATCTAATAACCCTGAGATTTCAACTCACACCAGTCAGAGTGTCTAAGATAAAAAAAAATTCAGTTGACAGCAGATGCTGATGAATATGTGGAGAAAGAGGAACCTTCCTCCATTGTTGGTGGGATTGCAAGCTTGTACAACTAACTGTTCAGGACATCAGTATGGCAGTTCCTCAGAAAATTGGACCTGAGGACCAAGCTTTACCAAACCTTTTTTTTCATTTACAAAAACTGCATCAGATTTCTTGCTCTTCAGCTGCTTTAATTTGGTATTAGATAACATTGAAATTTTTATTTTTTTGTTAATATAAATCTTTTTTTTTGTCATTTTCTTCTTCTTTCTGCTTGTTTACCAGAATTTTCACATTATTTCCTCTGCCTGAAGTCGTGAAATATGAAATAAAATTTCTTAGTACCCATTAATAAATCATACTGAAAATTTCATTCTTACATAGGTACTTTGTAATTTTATCACATATTCAATTTTCAATACACTACATTTGAAAATGAATAAAATTATATTTCTAAACATATAAGACATTTAGTTAATTTTTAAAGTTTCATTGGCTTTATGTAGTTATATTGAATATAATGGGTATCATTATTTAAATGTAATCACTTTTGGAAATAACAACATTCTAGCTTATTCCATAATATGTTACATGATACCTTTATATTTATAATTATATAGAAATATATTTTATTATTCAAAATGAAATATGAGTCAATCCAGGACAATCAACTCCAGGTGAACTACACTTAGTCCCTATTCATAGTATGACAAATTATATTACATGTTCACTTATTTTAAATCTAGGTGACTATCTCACTCTCAGGAGCTGTGAGCGTGAAAATGAACTATCATGCCTTATCAAAAATATGACTCTAGCTTCTTAAATGTTAGGGTATAGGGTTGATAAGAGCAAGTGATCGTAAATTATAACTCTATTTTTTTCATGACTTAATAGTGTACTTAATAATATACTTGTGAATCTAGTGACTTAATAATATAATAATAGTGACTTAATAATATAATAATCATGACTTAATAATATACTTGTGAATCTAGTGGTGATTTTAACAGATAACTCTTTTGTGTCATGGTTTATAAATGATGACACTCTACTTATGTATTTATGACCAAGAGGATATTAGAGCACAGTCCAAGAACAGAAAGGATACACTCTCATTTTTAGAAAAAAATCTATTCCTGCTTAATAAATTTTGTATAAAATAGCACTCTGATATATCTATACAGATATCTGTCTATATCTTAATATCTATATCTATCTATCTATCTATCTATCTATCTATCTATCTATCATCTATATCTATCTATTTGCACACACAAACAGATAGATAGATAGATAGATAGATAGATAGATAGATAGATAAATAGAAAGATAGTTATAGTGATATTAGCATAGGTATAAAAATAGATTGAGGTACAGGTACAGATACAGATACATTGCTGCTCTTCAGATCATATGTAGGCAGTGATGTTTGTAAAACTCTAAATATCTTTATGGTTAGCTACTTCCAGTCCAGAGGCTGTAAAAACAAGTAGACAAATCTGTTAAAGGTGTGTGACTGGTGATCTCTGTCCATGCAACATTTCAATATCTCAAAATTTCTACAATATTTGAAATAGCAACTTCTTGGGGACAATGATGACTGAAATGTGAAATATACAGCATGTATCAAAACAAATACTGAACTAGCATATAAGATATATTTGTGGATCAACTAGGCTTTGTTTGACAATCCCATCATGCTACTTTTTACTACATTACACATTACCTCTATCTAGGTCACTATCTATTCTTACATACAGCATTCTTCAGATTAAGAGTCTATACAAGGCATGTGCTATACTGTCTAGTATTGTGGCTGTATGAAGTCTTGGTTCAAACATCCATGTGTTTCTCTACAATGTTTAATTTATACTTGTTAAAGATTACCTTGTGGGATATGCTGCCTCAATCTTCTAGTAACTCAAATCACATCCTTATTTCCTATACTGTATATGCAGTGGCTTCTCTTTGATCACCCTTACAAATATTTTCTTATTTAGTTGTTTCATAGCATGTAACTCTTTATCATCATTTAGTTCTTGTTCTCTCTTTTCAAAGAAAGTTGTATTTCTGCTTCTTTCATTAGTGTTCTATGTGTTGTAGTCAAATATCAATAGATCTTTGCTATTGACCTGATACAAAAATGCATTTTCTTTTCCTTTATGAAAAAAAAAAGTAATGATTTCATTGAGGTTAGCAATAGTAGTATGGGTGAGAATTTATTTTTAGGAGCGAGGACAGCTCTAAAACTTCTAATTAATTTAAAAGCTTACTTCATTATTCTGAATACTCATAAGCATTGTAACACTAGAAGTCACTCTACAAATCATACAACTCAATATTCTTTATCAATCTTCTCTTTCACACAAAATTCATAAATTTTTATTACATTAAAAGTAAAGAGGTTTGATATTCTTACTATCTTTATAGACTTCTAGATGCAAGAGTTCTTTA